TTTTATTGGAAAAGAGAGTAAAATGGAAGAGAAAGAAATCAAATGAGAAAGAAATTCTCCAGGGAGATATGAGCTATGCATTTCCTAAATACAGTTTTTAAATCCAGAAATATATCTGTACACAAGCCCTAGACACTGTCCCATCAGTTAACCTAAAAGCGCCTTTTCACACGGATCCTACTTTCCGGTCACAGTGGCCTGCCCTGGATGACACAGGCCGACAGGTCCCTGCACCCGTTTCCACCTCTCCTGGGAGAAGGGAATCTCCAGTTCACAAATCTGAGGGCTATGTTCCACTTCCCGTCTTTGCCCCATCCTCCAAGACTCCCTTCCTCGTGGCCCCATGTGTACTTACTCAACCGCCTCAAGTACAGAACAGCATCCTCATACCCTCGGTAGTAGTAATTGTGCAGGATCTGCAAGGTGGGGACACCAGGAAAGTAGCTAAGGCTGCAGCAACAGAGAGAGTCACAGTGGCCTCACCCAGAGCAGCACCTTCCTTTGCTCTTGAGCTTCCTTTGATGGGCATTTCAAAATGTATGCATCCAGTGTCCCATCCCTCCCTATCTGCTAGGAAATGGGGAGCACTTCCTGATCATGTGTCCATAGTATGTTGCAGCAATGTGTTAAACCATTCACAGCTGGTCATCAGCTCCCACCTGGGTGGGAGAGGGTAAAATGTTTATAGTACAACCAGAGAGGGTGCTTTTGGGCCATATGAAGAGCAGAGTTTGGAAACTAGGTTCAAATCCCAGTGCTGCCATATATTGGCTACATGGATGTCACCTCTCATGGCCTCAGTGTCTTCATCTGTAAAATTGACATAAAAATAGTATCTATTGCAGAGGACACTAGAGGATTACACCAGATATTACCCACAAATCCTTTTCTGTAAAAGGCCAGATAGTACATATTTGGGGCTTCACAGGCCACATATTGTCTCTGTGACATCTTTTTTTCTACAACCTGTTAAAAATGGAAAGCTCATAGGTTGTATAAACCATGCCCTGTGTTGGATATGGCCCATGGGCCATAGTTTGCTGACCCCTGCACTGCACATCAGTCGTTCTGTGCACATCAGTCATTCCGATCTGTGGTTCTGACATCATTTCATTTTACAGGGGAGAAAAGAAAAATGAGGCCTGCAGTGCTTAGGGGACTTGTTCAAGGTCACATAGCTAGTCAGTGGCAGGGCCAGGTCTAGGAGGACATTTAAGGGATCGCTTGAGGGGAGGAGACACAGGTGGAACTGAGTGGGCCTCACTGGCTGCCCATCCCACCCCCAGGCCCTGTCACCCTCCTGTGTTCCCTCTGTCCTCCCAGGTCCCCCGTCCCTCACCAGCAGGTCCGGCGGAAACAGGGCCTGGGTCATCCTGGCAATATTCTCCAGAGAGAACTGGAAGGAGAAGTTAAACATGCGGAAGTCGTGGAAGATGGCCGGGCAGTCCCGGGGGCAGATGTCCTGCTGCCCGCTGAAGGTGGAGATGGTGATGGCGTCGGTCCAGAAGGAGCAGGGCTGCATGCCCGTGAAGCCGCCGTCTATGTACCGCTGTGGGGGCAGGCAGAGTGAGAAGGGCTCAGTTGGGCTCAAAGGTCCTCTTCCCCACTCAGGAAGTACACCGAGGAAATGGGGCCCTTGGGACAAGCCTTGCGACTGAGGTCTGGGTGGGTGAGCTGTGTGGTCAAAATCACTTCATGGGTCCACAGTAGCCTCATGCAGTCCCAGGGCTCTGTCCCTGCACCGTCTCCCTTCAGCCACCTAAATGGTGCCGAGACTGGGGCTTGGTGGGGAGGCGGACATCTGTACTCTGGATAAAGCAGGAGCAGAACCCTCCCTTGTCACAGCTCCCCCTCCTGGGCTGCCCCCGAGTGAGTCTACCTTCAGCTCCCTTCCCCTCTTGGGGCTTCATCCTCCTCACAGGCCAGAACACTCACCACACCACGGTAAGTTGGGGGAATGAGGCCACAGTACACGGGGACAAAGCAGCTGCAGTACAGGGCCTGTGGGGAGAGAACAGGGCTGAGATGCCTGAGGCCCTCCCTGGAAGGAAGGCGGAGAGGGCTGCTCTACAGGCCTCCAGGCCTGGCCCTCCCTAAGCCCAGGGTGGAGGCACTGCCCTGGGAAGTGGGGCCCCAGTTCAGTTTCTGGCCTGGCCCTAACTAGCTGGATCTTTGATAACCCACTTGGTCAGTCTGGGCCTGATGTCCCAGCTATAAAGGGAGAAGGTGCCTCAGTGGTCTCCAGGGACCCTTCTAGCACCAAATTTCCATGAATCCAAAGGGATTTGATAAACATTAATGTGTGTCTGACCTGGGTCAGATCCTGGAATCAAAGGAGGGTGATGCCCACCCTTGGGAATGCTCAAACAGGAGGAGGAAGAAGGTAGGTGGCAGTGCATGGGGTGACAGGCACTGCGATGGAGGTGAGCATGGGCACTGTGGTCCTGAAGGAGGCATGCCCGGACTGGGTGGTGGGGCAGGCAGGCGATGAAGGACAGTTCCCTGGCAGGAGTGACTGGAGTCTGTCAAGCAAGTGCAGTGAGGTGGGAAGGTGGGAACAGCAGGTGCAAAGGTCCAGAAGCCTGCTTGGGTTGTGGTTTTCTCATGGGTAGGAGTGAGAAATGGTAGGAGTGGACTGGGGGGGAAAGTCTTGGAGAGTTGGGCACTAATAAACCCACAGGAACATGAGGCAGATGGGGGAGGTATCCATGCTGACTGCCTGCTTATCCCCCATGCCCAGGATCGTGGTTGTGTCAGTGTGGGATGCAAGGATGGGTGGTGAGGACCTTATATTCAGGGGAGGTTAGGAAGTGGAAATGTGGGGTGGAGGTCATGCAGCTTAACCCCTTGTCCTGAAAGAAAATCAGGCATATCCCTACCACTCTCCAGTGAGAATAATTCATGACTAAAATTTATATTAATGAGCTTAGAATAGTACACAGAGTGTCCTTCCTAAGCGATAACCCATTTAGCGTTAATTCAACCCCTTTTCCAAGGGCCACTGGAAGAGAAGGGGCAGAAGAAGGTGCTATTCCCTCAAACTGGAAGTAATTCAGGGTGGGCACACTACAACCCAGCCTGGGAGGCCCTAAAGGAGACACGAGCCGCCGTTGTCCACAGTTGGGCCTCTGAGCAGCTGCAGGATCAGCACAGAGGACAAGGCAGAGGCAAAAGGAGGGGCTGAGCCCTTGGGGACTCTGGGCGTTGAATTCTTGAGAATGGTTTCTCTTGGGCTTCTGTATCCATCTGGTCTGACAGTGTGCCTGACACAGATGCCAGGAGGGCGAAGGCAGAGAAGGACTAAGGAAGCAGAAAATGAAGCGAGGCGACAGGTGGACCATCACAGGGGCCTGCCAAGAGGAGCAGGACCCGCCCTCGGACCCCTCCTTCCCAGCCCCCACCCTGCGGCACCGCCCCCTCTCCGAGGCTCCTCCCCCGCCCGTGGCCCCGCCCTCGCCCTGGGCCCCTCCCTCTTGCCTCGATGAGCTCCTCCTTGGAAGTATACTCCGAGACCACTACACTCTCTCCATCCGTGAGCCGCGTGAGGGCCACGTGGAGCTTCCCCGTGGCGGCCTTGTAGGAGTCCTCAGGCAGGACCTGGTACAGAAACTGCCTCATCATCTGAACCATCTTGCAGGATGGGGACAAGGGCCCCAGGAAGAATTTCTTCACCTCGGCCACACCCACGTTGAGGACCCTGAGGTACTCCTCTGTGGAGGAAGTAGAGAGCGGCAGGTGGTCAGCAGCCCAGGGCCAAGAGAGGTCACCCGCAATTTTGCCATCTCATCCTGATTCCGACAAATGGGCAAAGCGGGGCTTCTGAAGCAGGGAGGGGCTCGGGAGTCACCCTGTCCCCGCGCACACCAGGAAAGCAAGGCACGGGAGAATTAAGTCTCTGGCTGCAGAGAGCCCACAGCTCTTCAGTGGCAGAGCTAGGCCCAGGGGTCCTGACTCCTTTCACGTTGAGGGCACAGGACCACTTTCCTACCCCAAAATATCTCTCCCCAGTTTCTCATCAACAATGCCTGGAAGTGCACCACCAGACTACATTCTTTTGGGGTCTTAGAGGCTTTTTGCCCTATATGAGATTCCTATAAAGACCGCTACAGTTGAAATCCTTCACCAAGCAACACCCTGTGACATTCGCTTGGTGCCCACTAAGTGTGTGGGCAGGGAGTGGGTACTGGCCTTGAGGCAGGTGCATTACAGGGAGGGGAAAGCTTCCTCTTGAAACCATTGTATCAGGCCTGAGAGGGAGACGGTCCTGAAATATGGAACACGAGCTGTGCCGGGCTGTGCTTCCATGATCCCAGGAGGGGGAGATGACTCTTATCCCTCTTTCTGAGTGGAGCACAGCCAGGCCACATGAAGGCTCACATGTGCCAAATGCGGCTTATAGGGCAGATGCGTTGTTGTTCAGAGAGTGGCCGAGTAAAGTGTAATCCATCCCCCAAGTCCCCAGAATTCCACTGGGCAGGTTAGGGTTTGCAGGCTTAAAAAGAAATGCTATCATATTAGATTCTCACAGAAATACTATGAGGTAGATATTTCTATCCTTATTTTACTCTTGGAGAGGTAATATAACTTGCCCAAGGTCAACCATCTAGTAAGTGGACAAAGTGGGATTTTGAGCTAGGGTCTGTGACCCTGGAATTGCATACTCCTTCCACTACACTAAGCCTCAAGTTTCCAGTGCTGGGCCTGGACCTGCTTCTTGCCAATTGTTGCTAATTTCCACCCTGGGCAAGCCTTCTGGGAAATTCAGGAGCAGAAATAGCTCTGGAAAGGATTGCCAGTTTTTTAAAACAAATATTTAGTTGTGAAACATCCTATAGAGAAGAATTTTCATACAATTAGTGTCATGTAGCACTGGCTATTTGGGAAGTTGGGCAGCCACGAGCTCTCCACCACTGGAGGTAACCAAGCAGAGGAGGGACAAGTGCTTCAGTCACAGAACTTATCAAAGGGATTCCTGCATGGGCAGTAAGAGCTAAGATTCCTTCCAACTTTGAGATTTTGTGTGCTCATGAGTGCCTGACAATACATCTGGGAATTATCACAGTGGACATTATTTTCCTATTTATAAATAGAGCAGCTGAAGCACAGAGAGGTTAAGTGATTTTACCAGTCACACACAGCAATTTGGGGAAAACCACAAAGCTAGAGACTCTAGCCCTCTCATGTTTTACAGTTCCCATTATTCCTCATTAATGGAGGATGAATTGGATAAGGAGCTTCAGCATCATTTTACATGTAGGATCTGAGCCAGAAAAAAGCTGTGTCTAGCCTGAGGGCAGACAGCCAGGCAATGTTCATCCTGACTGTAAACTCTACCTTCTTTTCCTGGGTGTTGGACTGATCTCAGAGGCTCAATGAGCCTGGGTTACCATGGTGATGGCCTTTCCTCCCCGACACTGAGAATCACAGCTGCATTTGTGTAGTAGGACTGACCTGAGCAACAGAGCATCATAGCTGTCACCCGCTTACAGGGGAGGGTGCTCCTGGGAGGTGGGAGGGCCCTACAGTTTAATCGAGGTTAGCTTTACCAGGTGCAACTTGTGTAGTGTTTTCCCTCAGTGATGACCAAGTCATCAGTAGGCTATGAAGCAACTGAACATTTGGATAACAAGGTGCTGGGTCAGTGAGTGCCAGCCTGCAAAACCAGTCAGGACTGGGAGTTGAACCAGGGTGGGGATCCATTGTTTTTGGAATTCTTAATGAGCAGCTAGAAGTGGCCTTGACTGGGTTGGTGGCCTTTCCCACAATGCCTCAGAGCTAGAAGCATCTGGTTTGTTCAGCTTGCCCATACACTCCAGGGCTCCCAGCAGGAGGTGCTCTCTGGGACCGATGGAAGGAAATTTATTCTCATTGTCCAAGAAATACATGGTCATTGTGGAAAAAGAATTTTTAAAAAGGCAGATAAGCAAAAAGAAAAACTTAAAATGTCTTGGAATTCCTTCACCCAGAGATTAACATTTGGTTTATGTCTTCCTAGACTATATATTTTATATTAACTCTTACTTATAAGAATACATATATGGAGTCATACTCTATACACTACTTTGTAGTCTGTTTTTTTCACCCAATAAATCACATCTTTCCACATTGGTACGTACCCATTTATAACCTAATTTACAAGTGGCATGGAAAGCTATTGTAAGGTTATGCCATTATTTATTGAGCAGTTCTCCAATAGGAGGTAGCTATTTAATTGGTTTAGTTGCTTTTCTAAACAATGCTGCAATGAATAATCTCATGTTAATTTTTTTGCCTGTGTTTTTAATTATTTTCCTTAGGATAAATTCCTAAAAGTGGGAATGCTATGTCAAAGCTATGCGCATTTAGCTTTGTAATGCTTATTTTAATGGTGGCTTTTATATATTATCCATTTATAATCAACTCTCAGATGTTTAGGGGTGATTGTGGGTGACAGGGACAAAGCAGTGGCCATATAGACATCTCCAATATACTCAGATGGGAGAATGTTTTTTTGGAAATTAGCAATGCTCTAGGCAGAATCATACAGCAGGGTGGGGTGGGGGGAGATTGTCTGATTTCTCCCACTCAGGTGCTCAGTTTAATATTCTTTCCTACTGCCCACTGGGACTGTGTACCAAAAGATGCCTTGATCTCTGCCTCTCCTTGTTTCTCTTCCAGTCTTGCTCTGTGTGTCTCTGTCCTCAGAGTCTCTGATTGTCTCTTTCTCTGTGTCTCTTTTTCTCTCTCTTTTCCTAGCTGAGGGAGAAGCAACTAATCTGGTTAAACAAGTTGTTTTTGATAGTTAAGTGTTGAGCATAGCAATTGCTGAGCCCTGTGAAGAGGGATAAATTTAGCTTGCTTCTTTATGCATCTCTATACTTTCCCGCACCTTCTCCCATTTAAAGCCTTCCTTCCAAGCTGCAGGCTGCTGGGCTCTGAGACAGAGCCCCACACTGACCACAATGAGATTGGATTTAGAAGCAGCACCTCAGGAAAGTCAAGGTCAGCTCTTCCCACCCCCAACCCACACTTGCCACATCCACTTCTGCTTCCTCCCACTTCCTTTCACACTTTTTTATTATCTAAGGGGAAGTCTGTCTCCCAAGCCAGGAAGGAGCTTTTCAGAGGGCAGGTTTTTGTGGTCCTTTCTTCTCTATAGTCTATCACTGTTCTTTGCCCACAGAGGGCCAGTCAGAAACTTTTGCTATGAGCTGAGAACTCCTCAGGGGCAGGAACAGGCCACACTCAAGCCTCCCGTGACACTCGATGGGTGCCCAGTATTTGTTCAGTGTGTGAGTAAAGGAAAATAAAAGCCCAGCTGGGAGGAAAAGAAAGCGATGGAGATACTCACAAGAAGAGCTACTTGATTTAATTACCCAATAACAGCTTGAAAGCAAGACCATCCCAGATAGACGGATAGATAACAAAGCTAACTATATTTATAAACGCGGCCAATTCACCAGGTTTTATGAGTTTATTGTGCCAAGAACTTCAGTAGAAGAATAAATAAGATCCTGGCACTGGGAGGTTTTGAAGGGCATTGGGAAGTCACTGCAAATCTCATCCACTAAGAGAGGCTTTTACGCTTTTCTTGACTGACCAGATCCATTTCTTGGAAAGAACAAAGGCTTTGGAGTCAGGGAGTTATGGTTCAAATCCCAGCTCCACCACACGCTATCTGGGTCAGCACTGACTAGTCAAATAACTTCTTCAGCCTCAATTTGGCCACCTATAAAATGTGAATAATAATAATATTAACTTCACTGGGTTGTTAAAACAAATAGCTTTTTAAGTGCCAGCAAGTAGTAAGTGCTTAATATTTGGTTATGCCAGTAATTCCCCACGTGACCACGGCCAAGGCTTCTCGATGTTTCTGGCTTTCAGCTTTCTTATCTGAACAGGGGACAACGCTCCCTGCCCGCATTTATAGAGGTACATCAGGCTCACTTGTGGATGCAAAAGAGCCCAGTAAAAAGGCACTGAGGAGATGAGAGGGTGTACCCTTGTCTCAGAGCATAATGGGAGGCGGGGATTAGGTATAATGTAGTATAGGCACCGTTGGCAGCAGCTTTCCCTTCCCTGTCAATTGGGGGACCCTACAGGTTTAGTAGGGGAAAAGGCGGGCTTGGAAAATCATCGGAGGGGAAGGAAATGGATGATTAGGTATGTGCTTATTTATTTACTGAAATGCCCAATGTTTACCCCTTCGTGAGGGCAAGGATGGTCTCCATCTTGTTTATGTATCTCTATACTTTCCTAGCACCTGATCGAGTGCCCGGAACATGGTAAGCACTTAATAAACGTAAGTGCACGCATGAATAATGGATAAATGAATGAACCACAGGAATCAAAGGAGGATACTAAAGCCCAGAGAAAGCAGCAGCTATTCAAGGTGACCCAGAGAATAAAAACGGCATTTCTTCCCCTCTTCCCCTCTTCCACGCGGCCTCTTGCTAAATGAAAAATTCTAGAAAGATGAGCATCTGGCAGCTGGGGATCCAGTTCACAGGGTGCCCGAATTAGGGCTGCTGTGCGGGATGGGTCTGCCTTGGAGGATGGGGCTACACGGCAGCCAGGGTCTCCCCATGGAATGGTAGCCTAGCAACAACTTCCGGCTCAGCCAATCACGCGAGGCGCCTCCCGCCCAGTTCTCCGCCGGCCCTGTCGCGCAGCAGCGGTGAGCACCGGGAAGCTGCGCGCGCAGCAGCCCGTGGGGAGGCGCGGGCGAGCA